GCACCCCTGAGGGGAACCGGCACCCATGAGGAGAACCAGCTCCTCTGAGGGGACCTGGCACCCCTGAGGGGAACCAGCACCCATGAGGAGAACCTGCTCCTCTGAGGGGATCAGGCACCCCTGAGGGGAACTGGCACCCCTGAAGGGAACCAGCAACCCCGACTGCCTGCTCCCTGAGAGAAACTGGTTCCTCTGAGGGAACCCAGCTCCTCAGAGGGGAACCGGCACCCGTGAGAGGATCAGGCACCCTGAGGGGAAGCAGCAACCCCGGCTGCCTGTGCCCTGAGAGAAACTGGCTCTTGTGAGGGGATCAGGCACTGCTGAGGGGACCCAGCACCCTTTATCTCCCCATCCCAAATCCATCTGCTCTCCCCAGCAACGCACACGAGTCAGGGACAGCCTCGTACCCTCTCGCCCACTCCCCGTCTTCCTTCACCCCCGCCCTGGTGACGCCTTTTGGGGGGAGACACCGGTGCCTGCCTCACACGGCAGGGAGCCAGCTGCCTGCTTCCCGCGTAGGCCGTCTCCGAGTTGCGTTTAATTAAGGCTCCACTTCGGTTTAATTAAGGCCACAGTTTCACGTATGGGATGTGCGAGGCAGCGCTGATGAATCAAAGATTGCTCCAGCCCTGACTCTCAAAAAAAAAACCCCAAACCCAAATCCCTTCCTGAACCCACTGCTGGCACCCTGCCCTGTGCACAGGAATGGGCAGGGGCTCTCCCAGCACCCGGCCGTGAGCTCTGCACCTGCTTGCCCGTACCCAGCTGGTCTCCCTCCAGGTCTGTCCCGCACCAGCATGGCCTGGATTTGGCCATGCTTTGGTAACAGGGGGCTTTACATTCCCATCTACAAAGTGCGTCCTGGCCTAAAGACCCCTGTGCCTCCCAGCACACCCCTGCCCAAGGAGATGCTGTGAGCTCAGAGACGTATTCCTGCTGCCACCAACTGTAGAACCCTGCAGCTTCCCCGCTAATTAATTCAAACAAGCCCCTCACATCCCCGGGCAGGGAGGCAGCAGCCAGGGCTGATGAGATACAGGTCCCCCGAGCGGCTCCTCCACACAGAACAAAGAGAGCTCAGAGGCACTCGCTGGGCCCGTGCTCTGCCCCTGGTTTTGCCAGGGAGAAAGGAGACAGGAGAGCAGCATGGGTTTGTAGCAGGACAGGGCTGAGGCGTGGGGGGCAGCACGCAGCCTGCGGGCAGGGAACATGGGGTGGTGGGTGGGCACGGATCCCATGGGTGCCTGCAGCCCTGCCAGGATGGGAAGGGAGCATGGGCTCTCCTCCTCTCCTCTTGCATGGGGCTGAGGGACAGAGCAGATGGCAGCACACAGGGAGATGCTGCTCCAAAAGGATCCGACGGTGAATCATCCTCCTGCCAAGGCTTCTCCCCAGTGACGGGCTCCGTGGTTTCCCTCTGAGGCTCTCGCCGAGGGAGTGAGTGGGAGCCTCATGGGCCGATACCCCCAGCTGTGCCCGTGCTGTCCCTCCACAGGGGGAAGCTGAAAACCTCTGACTGAGCTTTCAGAGACGCACGACAGCTTTACCGGCTGCTGCTCTCCCAAAGGGTAACGCTGTTCTGCAGCTCCGTCACCTGTGCAAGGGCCAAAGCTAGGCTGGCTGGGAGGTTAGCAAAAGGAGCTGGGCTTGCGGATCCCCCAGGCAGCTTGGAAACACCAACCCTTAGGCTATTATTAAAGAACGTTAATTACCAAGTGCTTATTGATCCTGGCTTTCCGACCCTCCTTAGCTCCTGGTTGCACTTCTAATCATGGCAGGCTTGGTGATGGGAGAGCTGGCCCTGGCCAGTTTGTGGCTGAAGCTCAAGGGCTGATGTTTGGCAGTTCTTTGGTGCACGTCTGGACACAGACCTGCCTGTGAGCCATTGCTCATGAGGACTTTGCAGCGCATCCTCTCCCTCCTCCTGACTCTCTCCTTCACCAGCTATTTTCTTCCTGTCTTTCCTCTGCTTGCCCCTGCAGTGGTGTTTCCCCTCTGCTCATTTCCCTCCTGGCCGCAAAGCCAGGACCTATTCCAGTGGCGGGTCCCAGCCCCGACCCACCTTGTTCCCAAGAGATCCCAGGCACAGCAGCCAGCAGCCACCTTTCCACTCTGCATCCTGCAGGCCCTGGGGCCGAACACTGCTGGGTGCTGAGCACCCTGCAGCTGCACGGGCTCCCAGCCAGGCACAGTGCCTGCAATCAGCTGGAGTGCCCCCATCATCCCGGTCACTCACAATCCAGATAATTACTTATTTGACTAAAATAGCTGCTGTCACTGCAGCCATCAGTTGCTTCTGTGACCAAAGGGAAGTGGTGTATAAATCACAGTCCATGGGCTGTGTCTGGACACCACGGTGATGGGTGAGAAATAAAGGCCAGATAGCTCGGGTCTGGGATCTGCCTGGAGAGTAGACAATTCTCCTAGCTCACCAAAAAGAACTCGATCCCAAAGGCAAAGCCATACCTATTGTTCCACACCTGTGTTGTTTCAGTCTACTAACTCATGAGCCATAAAATGTGCCCGTCTCTGGGTCCACACACTGACAGTGCAAGGAAAAACACCCCAAACCATCCAGCTCTGCCCCTCACCACCTCCTTGTCCTTGCAGGACTTGCCTGCGTGAGCCCGAGCTTTCCTGTGCATCCCAGGGTGCCCCATGACAGGGCTCTACCCTACAAAGCCCAGTCAGAGCCTCGACGCTCCCATCAGGGTCTTGTTGCTCTGGCACATGTCCCACTTCCAGCCCTGTGAGCTCCCGCTCTGCCAGTCCCACATAGCTAAAGGAAGAGGAGAGGAGGGACATCCGACCCGGGGGATCACTCTGTTACAGGTCAAAAAGCTGCATCCGACCCCACTGCCCAGAGGCTGCTGGTTGCCAGACCCGGCATGCAGGGTCCTCGTTAGCCCCAAGGCTGGACCTGGAGGGGGCTGACCCCCATTAGGAGGAGCAGATGAGCTCAGGGTTCAGCCAGCTCTCTCCTGAGCCTGCCGGTTGGTGCCACCACAGGCGGTTCCCACATTTCCATGTCTAGCTACAGTCACCATCAAGAGTCCCAAGTCCAAAAGACAAAGGTTCAGGGCTCTGTACTAACGACGCCACCCAAGCCGGGCATTTCAAGTCACTTCTCAACAACCATGTCTGCCCAGCGGCATCACATCCCCATCCGGCAACCAGTCAGGAGGCTCCAACCCTTCTCAGACAAACTCTCCAAAGACCATTGCATGGTTTTCAGTGCTCAATCCCCAAACCACACAGCATCCCTGCCACCGTTCCTCTGTGCCTGCCTGGTTCCCAACGTGCCAGCAGCCTCCTGCAAAAGGGCCCGCTCTCCTCTGGAGCCAGGCGCCTCGCTAATGAATTTCTGGCCAGACATGAAGAGTCCTCAGGAATGTTAATAGTTTGCTGGAGGATAAGCAAGAGATTTGGAGAGATTTACACCAACTTTCATGTGACAGCTACGAAGTGTCTCAAACCCTTCCGTTTCTTTATGTGGGGGCGGAGGCAGGAGGCTGCCCCTGCATCTGTGGCATTCGCAAGTGACAGGGAACACGAAAAGCAGGCAGCTCCTGTGGGAGCAGCACTGGGGGGACCACGTAGGGCTTGTGTCTCCTCTGTCCCCCCTGGCCTCGCTGTTTCTGGCAGAGAATTTCTTCCATGGCCAAACAGAGAGCCCAGAGGAGGTGGTGGGGTGTTGGGTGCAGAGCTGAGCACCCTGCTGGTGTAGGACCTGGCCAGCCCCGGGGCCACCATCCCCCCTCCACCGCTGGCACCCAGCCGGGGCAGGCTGTGATCACGCTCAGCATCTTACCTTCACATATTCGCTGCCAGACTCCAGGCCATCATGGTGGCTAGAAGGAAGGGGAAAAATAAAAATAGATAAGTAAAGGGCAGTAAGTCATGACAGTCTGGTCAAAGGCAGTGGTGGCACACCCAGGGGGAGTGGGGGTCTGTGCCCCTTGCCTTGCCATGGGGCCAAGAGCACAGCCACAGTTTTGGGAGAGGTTCCCAGGGCCCCAGGACTGTTCCTGCCTGCTCCGTGCCCACTCTTGGCACAGGGCTTAGCCTCCCTAATGCGATCAGGGAAGAATGAGGCCTTTTTAGAGGATCTCTCCCCAAATCGGCTTGGGAGCGTGTGAGCTGAGCTGGGGAGACCCAGCGGCCAGGCTGGGGTCCCCACAGGTCATGGTGCTGGGGGGTGCATGCCAAGGTGGGGGTCCCTGTGCCCTGTTCCCTGGCAGAGCGGTGTTCCCAGTAGGCAGCTGCTGGGACACACCAACCAGACAAGCATTTCTGACTGTTTCTCTATGGCCTCATGCAACCCTGCAGAAATCAAACTTCCACTGAAGCCAGGGGTGAACTGCGATGTCCTGGCTGAGACTGCAAGATTTGCCCTCCCAGCATACAGGCTATAGAAACTCCCATTGTCCTTGGTGACATGTTCACTCTTAGCCCTACTGACAACCAACCCAACAATCCTGAGATGCAGCTGATCTGGCAGCTTCTTTGCCATCATTTCATGGGGGATGCAGATGGCCCCTGCTCTTTCCTGAGTGTGTAGCAATGCTGCTACTGCTTTTTTGTGCTCTTGTAGGTCAAGGTATGTGTCTGTATGGATGAGTCCAAGGGGAACGACAGTGAGTTCAAAGGGAGAGAGGCTGTAACAGCCTGAGCTGGGATGCACTATTCTGACGTCTCACCTTCCAGAATAAAATACAAAAATCCAGACTTCTTTAACCAGAACCCAGTACCTGTTGCCTCCCCAGTGCCAAGCTTCAGCATGGATATCCCACTGCATGCCGAGGTCGCCTGCCTGAGCACAGGGCGGCAGCAAAGGCCCTGGGATGGGAGGCTGCCAGCACCAGGGCAGGCAGCTGCAACTAAGGAATAACCAAATCTGAGGGCGTCACAGACTTGGGATGTCCCTTCCTCACCAGGAGCCGCCTCGCTCCACCTAGTGCCTACAGTCACAGCCGGACCCCTGCTTCATACTGGGAGCTGCTGGGGGTCCTGCACACAAACCCCTCCTGGGAGCCGCACCGGTGGCATCCCTGGGGAGCCAAATTCCTCCTCTGTGGGCTCCCTCCAGGTTGGAGATGGTGCCTGGTGGCTCAGAAATCAGTCAACCAAAAGGAAGCAGGGATGGCAGAGGTGACCGCTGCCAGATGTTGCCCCACTGGACATCCCACATGGCATTACAGTGTGTCCTGCCAGGATCAGCATGAGCCCCTCAGGGTGTCCAGCCCTGCAGCAGGCAACCCCCACTCCTCCAAGCCCACACTGCTGAAACTGCATCCCCCGCGGTCCAGCTTGGAAGGGGAAAAGGGGCTGGAAGTCAAGCCCACACTTTTTGGGGGTGAAAAAAATAGAGGAGCATTTGGGAGAGGGGAGGGACACAGACTCCCCCGGGCAGCTGTGGGCTGCCTGCCTGCCGCCGTGCTGCCTCTCCAGCCTGTTTGCCTTTCACACGGCCGCAGAGAGCTGCCTGGTGCTGCGAGAGCCGTGAGAAAAACCGGCAGCAGGACGGGGGGCCTCTGGGCAGGAAATCGGGAGCATGGGAGCAGCTGGGAGACGGTGCGAGGGCCCGGGCAGGGGAGGCCCCCGTGCCGGGGAAGGGCAGCAGCTGGGGCTGGGGAGGGGCTGGGCACCGCAGCCCCCCTGGTTCTGCACATTCCTGGAGGAAACAGCATTTTTGGGGGCAGCCGAGCGCCTGGGAGAAATTCCAGGGCTGCCTTTGGAGCGCGGCCGTGGCTGAGCCGCTGGGACCCAGCGGCACTAGGGAGTGGGGTTTCGGCAGGGTAGCTGCTCCTTTTGGGCTCGGGAAGGCATCACGGTGACTTGCAAACATGCCAAGCTCTGGGCTGGATGCTGGGGAGAGGCCAGGGTGATCGTGTGGGTCCAGCCCCAGTTTGGAGCCCAGGCTCTGCTCGTCTTCGCACACTGGTGCAGGCTGTGCCCCAGGGGAACCAAGTTGGGGCACCTCGTGCCTCAGTTTCCCCCTCTGCAGAGCTGCCTCCTTCGAGGTTTTGGCTGGCAGTGCTGCCAGAGGGGTCTGCCGGCAGCTGTGGGCAGCGCCCTGCCTGTGCCCCACGCGAAGCGGCATTTCCCGTGCCTCACGCACGGCCGCGCGCAGAGGGAAGTCGAGTCACGTCCGCTCTACGACCTGCCTGCGGGTCATCTCCCGTTAGTCACCGTGTCCCTGCCCAAGTCACGGCCACTGCCTCACTCTGAGCAGCTCCACAGGCTGGGTGCTGCTCCCTGTCCCACAGCAGTGCAATTCCCCCCCCTTGAGGGTTTGATCCTGCAGGGAGCATCCCTGGCAAAGCCCTCCCGTGCATGGGCATCCTCAGCCCATCCTGCCTCGGGGTCTGTCCTCACCAGGGATGCTCCAGGGGGGGCAAGCGAAAATGTGCCCCAGGGCCATGCTTGTGTTCCACCCCCCATGCCGCTTTTAGTCCCTCTGCATGGGTGCGCCCTGTGCTGGGCAGCTGGCCCTGGTCCCTGCCATGGCCTAGCGGGAACAGACTGTCCCCATCCCCAGGGATGTGCCTGCGCAGGAGGAAGGGCTGGGGCGCGGCACTATCCCGGTCCTGCTTCCGCCAGCCCGCCCGCCCCACAGCAGGGCCCGGCCGTGGGGACAGCTCTGGCAGATGGCTGCTCCCCAAGCCGGGGGCTGTGGCAGGGGCTCCAAGTAGAGAGTGGAGGGGCAGAAATGCCCCTGATGCCAAATCCTGCTCTGGTCGCTCTTGTGCCTCAGTTTCCCTGGCAAACAGCATGGCAACGCCCATCACCAGGGCAGCCCCAGATGATGCAAAAGAGCATTTCACCCTCAATTTTTGGGGACCCAAGTCCCCACTCCCCAGAGCCAAGACACCCAGCTGACCCACACACATTCCCCTGCTGCTTGGCTCCCAGCTGCGCTGGCCTGGGACCTAAGTCATTTCTGGGGGACAGAGGGTCTGGGCGAGCCCCGTGCACCCTCTGCAGGGACCCTCTGCCACTGCTGGGGTTCTGTGCTCACCAGAGGACGTGGCAATGCCACCGGCCCCGAGCCCCCGAGCCTCCAGACCCTCAAGCCAGCCACAGCCCCTGAGCTTCTCTGCCCTGGCGCTGGGTCTGATTGAGGTTTCGGCAGCCACAGCCGATATGCTTGCTCTTTCCATGAGCAAATTCTGCCACGGGCCCGGGGCCTTGGCGGCCGAGCACTGCGTCGAGGCTTTGTGCCTGCCCCAAGCAAAGCCCCTTCCCATCCTCTCCCTCCCCATCCCTTCCGCCGTGCTGGGGTGCGAGGGGTGGCTGGGGGGCCGGGACCCCTTACCTGCCCTGTCCCAGGATGGGAAACCTCCTGCCCACTGCTGTCATCGGCCCTGCGTGATTCAGCAAGCACCTCTGCTCCGGGACGGGGAGAAACTCTCCCAGGCGCTCTCCCGCCTTGCACTGAGCGTTGGGACTTTGGGGCGCGCAAGGCGGTGGCAGACCCTCCTCCTTCCCGTCCCAGCCCTCCTCCGGCCCTCCCTTCACGCCCGGCAGGAATGTGTGGCCGGCACAGCCTGACTCCCACTGCCGGCACGAATTCCTCCTCCTCATCCTGCTCCTGGGGCCACCCGGACTTCCCAACTGCTCAGTACCGAGGCGAGGACACCCCATACCAGGGGCGGCACGGGGGGAGCAGAGGCATCAGGGGCCACCCAAGTGGAGAGAGAGGAGAGCTGGGCCAGGGAAGGGGTGGTACGATGGGACCTTGTTTTGGGGAGAAATTTGGAGTCGGCGCCTCCACCCATGTCCCCAGTCCCATGCACACTGCTGGGCTGGGGATGCATTTGGCCTCTTGTGCCCAGATGCCCAGGCGATGGGCAGGCGCTTAAAAATCCCTCTTGTTAATTCTGAGGTCAAACCCCCCAAAAAATCCAACCCTTATCTGAAAGGGCTGAGCCCCCAAATTCGGCCGGGGGGGGGGGGTGCCTGGAGGGGGTGGGGTGGTGGTGTTGTGCCCAGAGTGGGGGGTTTGTGCCCAGAGTGTGGGATTTACTGGCAGTTGATGGAAATGGGGACGGGATGGCTGGTTTTGGGAATTGCCCCTCTACCTTGAGAGAGGCAGTGCTGCTCGGGGAGGGGGAGAAGGATGGAGGAGGTGGAAAAGAGGAGAGCGAGAGGTGGAGGGGGCCGGGACAGTGCAGGTCTGAGCTCTCTGCAGCACGTCCCGGCGCTGGAATGGAGCCGCCGGCAGGACAAAGGGATGCCGGGGCTGAGCAGGGCCACGAGATGTTTCCACCCCATCCGGAAACGGGAGGGAGCAGAAATCCCACAGGAAACCTCGCTCCCATGGAGCCACTGACCTGGCCATGGTATGGAGCGCTCCAGCCATGCTGTCCTGCCGGCCAGGTGCATCCCACTGGCACTGTGGGTGATGGGGTGGGGGGCACTGCAGGGACCCCGCTGTGTCCCAGCCCCCTCCCCTTGCCCTGGGGGGACAGAACAGGGGTCCCAGCAGAAGGCAGAGGAAACTCAATGGGGCCATACCTGTCTGGGGAGCTCTCACTGGGGTGCTCTTGCCCCTTTTCCAGCAGATCCCCATTGGTGGTCTTTGCTCCCACTGCTGTGTCAGGGCTCAGGGTTTGGCTGGGTTTTGCAGCCAGGCTGGAGGTCAGTGTGTCTGTCCTGGGGCAGGAGATGTTCCCCGCGGGTTCCTGGTCTGTCCTGGCCATCGCTGGCCCTGGGGTGTCCACAGGCTGAGCCACTTCCTCCTCCTGCTCTGCTTGCCCAGCAGCTGAGGGTAAGTCCGTGCCCGGGTCAGCGGTGCCAGACATCTTGGAGGACTCAGGATTGGGGAGCGGGGCTGTCCGGGGGGTTTTGTCACTGGGGATCCCTTTCTCCCGGCAGCTCTGGCTACTCTTGGCTTTGCCAAGGCTCTTCCCTGCCTTGCCCAGGTTCAGCCTGGGCATGGTGCCCATGTGGCTGTACATGTCTGACGATCGGGCATAGGGGCCGGGGCTCTTCGGCATGGTGTTTAGATCATCCTGGGTGCCATCGAAGGGCTCCTCCAGGAAGCCATGAGGAGGAGGGACACCCGGCCCCAGGCTCTCGGGAGAGCTGGGGGCCACAGACACGCGCCGGAGGGTGAAGGAGCGGGGGATGCTGCTCAGGCTCCCGAAGCCTTTGAACTTGAAAAATTCTGGCAAGGAGAGAGAGAAGTGTGGGGTTACTGCTGGCACAGTGTTATGGTGGGGGGTCCTGGGGCCCCTGGTCCCAGTTTGGGGTGGACATGGGGCACTGTGCTGCAGTGTTAGCCCTGCTACACCCAGCATCTCCAGTCCCAGCTCGGCATGATGTCTCTGTGGCCTGGGGTGTATGGGAGGCTGCTTGGGGCATCTCTGCTGGGACCCTGGGAGGTCTGTCCCGGTCCCTTGGAGAGCAAACGTCCCCTGTGCCCTGGCAAATCTAGCGGCTGCATTTCCCCACTGCAGTCGTAGGGGTGGAGGAAGAAACACCTGGCCCTGGTGAGCAGGCAATGCCAGAAATTATTTCAAATCTCTTCCTCCTGCCCTCCGCCTCCCTGCTTTCCCCAGGAGACTCTGGGCAGGGCTGGCAGCTGTGCCCAGCCCCGTAGCCTCAGGGCGGCCCTGTGGGCCGTACCCCTTGCCCTCTCCGGGATGAAAGCATGGGACACACCGCATGTCCCCAGGGGATGGGGGTCCTGGCCATGTGTGATGTGCCCACCTGTGCACATCCATTGCCAGCACAGTGGAGCAGGAACCAAGCATCAGCGCGGGACTCGGCGGCACTTGCGTGGCAGCATCGGCTGCGGGCAGGAGATAACTTCTCCGCTTCCTCGGCCGAGCGCTCAGCCCCTCACAGCCTCCCTGCAGCTCCCAGCTGCCACCTGCAAGCGCTGAGCGCAAAGTGTTCACCGGAGAAGTATTTATAACCCTGGCGGGCGGCTTTGCATTTCACACCTCGGCCTCAGCTCTGCGTGCTGCTGTGGTGCAACCCCAGGCCAGTGCTGGTGCTAGCATGAGAATGGTGGCACGCAGGGCGAAGCAGGCTGCGGCTGCAGCTCTGCAGGGCAGCTTTTTACTGCTGGAGCGCGGGTATTCTGGGTCCCTCTGGGGGTTTTGCAATGTTTACCCTGCTGCGGGGCTCTGCAGAGCCTCTTCCCCTCCGGGCACAGCAAATTTGCTAAGGCAGGAAGCAGCACGCTGTGGCAGTGCTGTGCGAGGAGCTGGGTGTTCGGGGGGCTGCTCGGCTGTTGGACTCCCACCTCCTGCCACCATCCATGGGCTCTACAAGGCATCCCCACAGCCGGACGGGGCAAAGGGCCATGTAAGGGGCTGCAGCAGCCCAAAAGCCCTTCTACGCGGCAAAACCCTTGTGACCCGGACATTGTTAAAGGCAAAACTGCTTCGGGTTATACATCCCCTCAGGGTCCGAGCGTCCTCCACTCCCAACTGGGTGGGAAAGGCAACACCGGGGACTTTCCCCATCTTCTGGCTCTCCACCACAAAGGAAAATCCCAGCTGGGATGGGGCTGTGGGTTTTGCCAGTGGAGGGGTCCCTGGGGAATGGAGGGATTGGCCCCCCTCCGGCACCGGCATCGCGGCAGGAATGCAGAGAGCAGCAGCAAAGGCTGACTTCTGTGCAGCCCAGCGCTGGGAAGCGGGGTGAAGGCCACTGCAGCCGCCTCCCGGGGCTCTGGGGGAAACCCGAGGTCTGTGAGAAAGAGCAGAGCTCACTCCCGGTGGGTACCACGCACTTCCTCTGAGAGCAGCCGGTGGGAATCTGCTCCCAGGCTCCCACCCTGGCTTCTCCGTGTCACCCCCATCCCTGTGCTGTGAGAGCACCCTGGGGCGGGGGGCCTGGCCACCCCCAGACCCCGGCACTGGCTTGCACCCCCAGCCGAGCACCTTGAAGGATGTGATTTGGGGAGTGAAGACCCCCAAACCCTCTTGTGCATCCCCCTGGGCACATCCTGGCACCCAGTGCAAGGCTGGGCTGCAGCAGACTGGTCCCAGTCCCAGCACCCGGCTCTCAAGTCAACAGCACCCGGGCTCTCCCCCAGCTCTAGGGATGGAAACCCACCAAGCCCCGAGCCCCAACAAGCTTCCTAACAAGAACAGAGCCTGTCTTGGCTCCAAATGTCCCTGGGTGGGGGTGTCCCGGGTAGCATGTGAGCACACACCACACTCACACTCACATTCACAGTCACACACCCACACTCACACTCACATTCACACTCACACTCACTGTCATGCATCCCCCCTCCTGGCCAGGCTGTCCAGGTGAGCATCCCATCACCTGCCCACCACGTCCCACGACCACTTACTGAACTTCTTGAAGCCCCCTCGTTTCTGGCCCTCAGCCATGGCTGCGCTGGTCAGAGGCCGCGGGGACCGAGAGGGACAAGTTTATAACTGTGAAGCCCTTCCCTGCCCGCTCCTCCCTTCCTGCCCCCCCGCCCCCACAGTCGCTCATCACTTGCTTGCGTTTCCTCCCCAGTGCTGTCATCTGCTGCCGGCCCCGCTCCTGTCCCTGCCTGCCCTCCTGCTATCCCCACAGTCCTCATAGTCCCTGTGTCTGCTCGCACCAACCTGGCTGCTCGGGGCCACCTCTGGGGCCCTGGTTCAGGGTTGTCCAGTGGATGTGGACACCCAAAAAACCCTGGGTGCCAGCCCTAGAGGAGGCTGCCAGCCCTATGGAGGAGGGTGCCAGCCCTAGAGGAGAGTGCCAGCCCTACGGAGGAGGGTCCCAGCCCTGCAGACAGGGACCCGCCATGCACATTTGAGGCTCAGCCCCTGCCCTCATCGGGCTCCGTGGGGTGACAGCTGGATGGCATCACTGCCAGTGGGGGCCCCCTGCCACCAGCTGTTCTCTCATGCTGGGGGACCTTGGGGTGCCCCATTGGAGTGTCTCCATGCAGGACAAGGTGGCCTGGGCCTGGCAGGGATCTGGTGTCTGTATTGTCCCCCATTCCCGGGGAGCACCTGGTGGTTCCCGTGGCCAGGATGCCAGCAGCCATCTTTGCTGCTGCTCTGGCCTTGGCTTCCTGTGCGCCCTGCTTTGGGGACCAGTTTCAAACAACCCCAAACCAAGCTGTTCGTTCTGCACCCGAACACGGGTGTTGCCGGGGGGGGATGGTGTCCCCAGCTGGGAATGTTTCTGCCAGTGGGGCAGGAATGCAGGGTGTCCCTGGGACCAGGTCCTGGTGTCCTGCCCTGGCCATGGGGTCCCCTCACCACAGTCCCCGGGTGCAGGCACAGTGCAGAGCCAGGGAGCAGAAATGCTGTTAAATCCCTGATGGGCGTAAGCATGCAGGGGACATGGTGACATGCTTTAGGGCCACCAGCACCAGGGGCTGCTCGGTGGGCTGGGCCGTGTGGAGGGATGTGGGTGATAGTGGGGTGCAGGGAGCTGCTTCCTTGAGGATGCTGCGGCA